ACTAGGACACCACGTTTCTAATGATGGCATTACTAAAAAAAATAAAACACGTCTTTGGAGAAGCTCTCGTTAACTTCCAATAACATGGTTCTTCAGGTACGTATTTCACAGAGGGCTTGTAGGTTTTCTCCATTCTCTGTCCACCAGCAAACCCCATCTAGATTTTCTTCAACAGCTTGCTCTGTTGACTGACTCATGAGTGGGACTGGAACACGCAGCTAGGACATTTCTCTGGAGTGTGTTGAGGGGGAATGATAACTCTCCAGCTTCTTGCCTAGCTGGTGGTGTCATTGAAAATGTGTTATTGGGGGCCATGGCTTAACACCTTCTAAAAATCAGGGAAGCTGAGTAACACACGTAATATTTGCGCTGAGTTAGATATTTCATGAGAAAGTATTTTATCCAAGAGTGGAATTTCTGCTTTTAAGCGATTTTTTTTGGCTGGTTATAGAAATTAGCATCATGCAATCTTGCTTGGCATGGAGAAAGATGAACCTAATTGCCACTGTGAAATTACACACGCACCTTGCACATTTGGAGACATGAATGCATTTGTGACGTGCATGAGGCTAGTTAATCAATGTGAAGTTAACGCTGTTGAGGTAGCCGTGAGTTGGTCATGGGTGGCTTCCGAAGATGGACGGTTACAGATTTTTTTTGCGTGTTTATTTGTCCTCAAATCAGTCATTGTTGTCCTCAAAGAAACCGTATCAGCGATCTTCACCTTTTCCACCTCCAAGAGTTTCCCCCAGAGAAAAGTTGTCAAGAGTTGAATGAGAAAGGCACTAAAAAGTGAAAACCATAGGGTGCTTGCTTAACAACTAAAACCAAACCTACTGCTGTTGGGTCAGTTCTGACTCATTGCAACCCCATTGGGTTTCCAAGGCTGTCAATCTTTATGGAAGTAGATTGCCTCATCTTCCTCCCTCGGAGCAGCTGGTGGGTTGGAACCACTGACCTTCTGGTTAGCATCCAAGTGCCTTACCGCTACACCACCAGAGCTCCTTAAGTTAACAACTCAGAGGTATTTATTTTCTATGAAGGGACAGCTAGGACTTGGCCATCAGACTTTGGACATCTGACGCCATGTTGATTCTGATCACAACTTTGTGTCCCTTGCCCAAGATGTTCGGCATCTGAATGAAATGGAAACTTACTGTTTGTGGTCTGATCAGATCTTGAAGGCACTTGGCCTCAGTCCAAATGCCAGAATCACCTTGAGAGGCTTTATTTATGAAAACCAGCTCCAACTCTGCAGAATTTTAATTGGACAGGATCCTGGTGCCAGGACAGACTTCCTCTGTCGACACGTGTTGTGAGTGAGTCTGAACGTGAAGTCTCTGGATGTGTTCTTACCCACAACAGTGGGTGTGAACAGATGTGAACCCCGCTGCATAATGCATTTATTCATTCCTTTAACTTCAGCTATTATTTCTCCTTCCTTCCATTACCCAGACTTTCCCACCTTGGGAAGGGGTATCAAGTTCAGCTGTTGTGCCTCCAGACTGCTGGTAGCAAGATCAGTCTGGCAAGTGCTTCCCCCGCAGTCAGTCCACTCCCATTCATGCTGGCTGTTGTTACACAGGTACAAAACTAGGGGCTATCTCGACCACTGGGCAGGACGGTAGTGTTCACTGTCAGCCCCAGTTTGGCCAGATGGGGAGAAGGTACAATCCATCCCATAAGGCCCTTGGGAATTCCAGTGTACAGGTTCAAGTGTATAGAAACAATCTCTTGCTTTGGGATCACCCTGGCCTCTGGCGTCCACAGCTGCATCCCAGGTCCAGGGACCACAGCTTCTGGCAAGAAGAAAGCAATGTTAGGTGATGTGGGGAAGAATTGTACAGTGGCACCAGCACCCTCCCCCACCCCTTCTTCCCTAGATCCTCCAGAAAAGTGTAAGAATCTGTCCAGTGGTGATCCTCCCTTTGCCCCTGCCAAAGGGGCAAGGAGGCCACATCTTCCGACCTCCTCTAACCCCACAAGAGGAAGACAGAATCACCATCAGCAGCCCAAGGCCTATCCCTGTGAGGCCAGACATGCTGCCTCCCTCCAGCCCTTTCACCAACCCTGACACCAACCGTTCCTCCCACAGCACCCACCACCTCTCTGCTGGGTTCAATAATTCGCTGCAGTGGCCACACAGAACTCACAGATTGTGGGGTTTATTAAGGAAGAAACAGATTACAACTCAAGTTCAGAAATGCACTAGTCTCTCTCAGCCGGCTGTCTCTCAGCTGACAGTCTTTCTCAGTCTGTCCCAGCAGTGCATGTCTCTCGAGGTCTCTCTCAGCAGTGCGTGTCTGTCGAGGTCTCTCTCAGCAGTGCGTGTCTCTCGAGGTCTCTCTCAGCAGTGCGTGTCTCTCCAGGTCTCTCTCGGCAGTGCGTGTCTCTCATGTCTCTCTCTCAGCAGCCTGTGTTTTTCATGTCTCTCAGGAGCATGTTTCTCTCAGTAGCACGTCTTTCTCAGCCAGCAGTCAGAGAGACTCCTTCTGCCTCTAGGAGGGCTCCTTTTGAGCCTGGTGGAGTGACCACCAACCAATCCCAGCATCAGAATTCTAGACACTGGAGAGAAAGTGAACTTCCCAGAAGGTTACTTGGTGCTACGCTCAACAGAAATACCCCAGGTGGATAACTTTAACAATCAGGAGCTACTCAGTTTCTCACAGCAAATTCCACCATGGAGTTTACAAAGACTTATGGCTAGAAAAGCCACGCTTTGTAATTTACTACACTGCAGCCCCCCTCATGTTGAGTGTGCACCCATTCATGAAGGTGTGTGAACCAGCCTTTTAGGCCTTTATCTCCCCCAGTTGTAGGTAACTGTTTCAATTGCTCATTCCCATTCTCTATCACACCATTACTTTCAGGATTCTTTCTTTGTCTTTGGTTTTGGTGAGTTTCATGATGACATGTCTTGGAGATTTTCTTTTGGTGTCTATCCTGTTTGGGTTTCGTTGGACTTCCTGAATGAATATATTCTCATCTTTCCTCCTATCAGGGAGGGAAGTTCTCTTACAACAAATCTTGGACAATTTTCTCAGTCATTTTATTTGTCTCTTCCTGTTCTGGAATTCCAGTCAAACATAGGTTATTCCTTTTGATGGTATCCCACATGAACCTTAGTCTGTCTTCATTTTGTTTTGATCTTTTTTCTGACTGATCCCTTTCCAAAGAAGTATTCAGGTATTTGTTATCAATCTCACTAATTCTTTCTTCCATTGCATCAATTCTACTCCTTTGTCCTTTCAATGTGTTATCTATTTCTGAAAATTTAGTATAAATCTTCTGGATTTCTCTCTGTAGATTTTGTATCAGTTCTAATTTTTAATTTTTTATTTTGTTCTTATATTTTCTTCCAAAATTCTTCTAAGGTTTTGTTTGTGTTTTCCTTAATTTTGTCAGTATTTTCCTTGATCTGTCTCTCAATCCTTTGAAGATACCTAAATATAATTATTTTGAATTCCTTACCAGGGAATTCCAATGCTGCTTCTTCCTCAGGGATGTGTTCTGGATCTGTGTCCTGCTTCCTTGTTTCTGCCACTTTATCTTATTTCTTTGTGTGGACTGTGATGGTCTGTTGTCTCCTAGACATTGAGACATTGTTGTATTTACATCTCTGTTGACTGTTCGTGAAGAGCAGCTAAGGGTGAGTCAGGCTCTTCTTGGTAGTCATGTATTGTTGGCCAGTTGGTGTAGAAGGAATTGGTGGCTCTCACTCAGTAAGTGGAGCTGCAGGAAGTGTGGGTGTTGTTGCGTCATATGGGCATGGTTGCTGTCTTCCACTCAATTAGACAAAAACAGTGATCAAAAAGCCATCTAAAAAGGGAAAGCAAGCAGACAAAAAACACACCATGTAAATACACAGGAACAATAACCAAAAAAGAAAGAAGGAAGAAAAAACCCCCGCAGTATCTGGGGAGGGAACAATAAGAGAAAAGAGGTAAAGTAGGACAATAATGAGGGGAAAAATGTGAAAAATGCAAAAAATAAAACAAGGAACAGGGTTAACCATGAGAAAGAAAAAACGGGAACGAGCAACAGGGAAGAGAGAAAAAGATGAAAACCTGAATCTGGGATGGGAAGAAAAAAGAACAATAATAAAAAGAATGAGCAATAATAATAATAATAATATAATTTTAAAACAGACAAAAACAAACAAACTGGGAAAAAAAAAAGGAAAAAATATCTGAGCAGGGTGGGGCAGGACACCCAGGCTCTGTCTGAGCACACAGACTGGGATGGAATTCCTATGGGCCCAGAAGGTGGGTGGGAATGAGGGATGGCTGCACCTCCGTTCACCAAGAGGGTATGGGGTATGAGAGTAACAAGGCAAATATTGCACCTTTGCAGTTGTTGGCATCCGGAATGTCCTTGTGGTCCCCAGCAAGTAGAGCCTATTCTTAGGTCCCTGGAATCTGGGATAGTACTTTTGCTTTAAATATCCAAAATGGTCGAACTACTTGTAGACATTCAGAATGGCTATGGCTTCTGGACAGACAAAAGTCCACAGCTCAGCCCACCTTCCTCTTCTCTGCTCCCCCTTTTATTCCCCAGCCACCAGAGCAGTCCTCCGTGCAGTCCCTGGCTAGCAGGGCCGATTTTTAGGTTAGTTCTTAGGTCCTCCCACCACTTGGGAATCTCCAAGCTGTCTGTGCCATCAGGATCGCTCAGGATGGCTGCCAGACCACAACCCCATATGTCTCCTTTTTTGGTGTTTTCATGCAGATTCTTATACTAGTTGGGGTTAGGTCTACTTCTGTATCCTTCCCTTCGAAGCTTGGGGCTCCAGGATTATTTTCTGTATCTGTGTTAATTGGTTCCTCTTTGTTGAAGAGGGTCTGTATACTTTGTCTGGTTATTCCACCATCTTACCGGCACCCCCAAGATTTATATGTTCTTAAGTCTTTTCAATATTTTAAAACCCTAAGAATGTGTTACTCTTGCTTGACGCTTCTTTTGGCTTTTTTTTAAAAAAACAAATTGTCTCTATTTTCCAGGCTTACCAAGAGATTAAAGAGTGACTCCTTGAAATCCGACTTTACGATAGATTTAAAACATGAGGTACGTCACATTTGGTTGGGTTAAATTTTAATAATGAAGAATGTGTGGCTTTTGATGTGTAGCAGGTGTTTGATATCCCCTAACAGTGCTCTTTCCCACCCACCTCCATCTTCTCCCTACCGGCTGATTCTCACAGCACCTTAGCCCATTAGGACCTTCTATGTGAAGCTCATTTTTGTAATGTAGGTGGAAAAAGAGCAGTGAGAAAGCTTGCATCTCGTGATTCCAAATCTTAATTTTTAATACCAGGTGGAGAGAGCCGGAGGTGAATTTCTGAAAACATACAAATGTGCCATTCAGAGTACTTCTGGTTATCAAAAGGGGGAACATGCAGAACAGATTTTGAAAAATTTTCATGGAATCCAGACTTTCTGGAGTCTTGGAAGCTGAATGAACCACTGCCACTATTGGCCTGAGATAATCTTTAAGCCTTAAACCAAAAATATTCCTAGAAGTCTTCTTAATGCCAAACAATAGTGTAGCTCAAAAACAGTGTCTGCCCTGAATATTGTGCTCCTTTAGAGAACTATCTACAAGGGGTTAAATTGTCGCTGGCAGTTTGAAAAGATAGATGGGAAGCAGAGTGGGCAGTGAGTTTATGTCAACGAGGGAGAAACAAACCAGCAGAGGACAGTGGGGATGGTTGACTATAGTCAACGTCACTGAATTGTGCATGAAAAATTCCTGCATTGGTGTATATGTTATATCTTTTCAACAGCAACATAAAAAAGTAGAGTATAACAAAAAATATTTGGTCTTTTTTGGTGCCTTCATCTTGTGTATGCTTTTCTCATGGATGTGAGCTTGGTTGGAGCTACATGAAGCCAGTGGTTGTGAAGTAGGCAGTCATGGACATGCCGGCTGGGGCCCCTAGCACCTCTGCTTCCCTGGGTGTTTAGTGGACACCTGTGACCTCAGTGTAGTGGTTTTAAGGCATTTGGCTGTTAACCAAAAGGTCAGTGGTTTGAACCCACCAGCTGCTCTGCGGAAGAAAGATGAGGCAGTCTGCTTCTGTAAAGATTGTCAGCCGTGGAAACCCAGTGGGGCTTGCCATGAGTCACAGTCGACTTGGTGGCAGTGAATGTGGTTGGTTTGGTACCAACTGTCCTGGAGGCAGGTGGCAGGCGTCCGTTGATCACTCCTGGAACCTTGTTAAGAACGTCCCTGTTGGCATTTCATGGGCACGCCTCCAGGCCTGGGGCTGACTTGGGTTTCGTGGTATGCAGCAATGTGTATCTGGGGACAGTGGTGGGAAATCCAAGATCTTTCTCACTCCAGTGAGGCTGGCTTTTCAGCCTCAGGATGTTTGAAAATGATGCAAAACTCATTAGAGGAGAAATACACTGTTTTTCAAAAACATCTTTCTTGTCTTCTGCAGATAGGAATGGCGAGCTGAAAACCAGGGTCTGCCTAGATATGTTTAAGGAAAAGTAAGGTCTAGAACAGATACCCAGTTTTGGAAATCTATTTAACAATGATTAAATACGAAAGAATATTTCAAACACACGTGAAAAGTGTAATATCAGTCAGCAGAGTCCCTCTGCTTCCACCACCTGACTTAAAAGTCAGTTCCAGTTGGTGAGAACACCATGTGTGTCAGAGCGGAACCGTGCTCCACTCAGAGGCCCCTTGGAAGAAAGACCTGGCCATCTACTTGCAGGGGAAAAAAATCAGCCTTACCAACCCTGTGGGGCCTGGTTTCTTTTGGCCTTTGCCTTATAATCTTTTTCTTTCTGATCTTTTGTGTCCTTATCTTTCAGATGTGTCTCTTTTAAAGAGAACATAACTGTGTTAGACTGGGTTCTCTAGAGAAACAAAACCAGGAAAGCTTATACATATGTAAATATAGAGAAATTTATCTTAGGAAAATGGCTCACACAGTTATAGAAGCTGGCAAGTCCCAAGTTCCTGGATCAAACGTCAAGCTGGAGGCTTTTCCCGACTCACGCAGCCACAGGGGCTGAGGAGCTCAAGGTTGGCAGGCAGTACACCGGCTGACTCCAACGAATGACAAATCCAAGACTCCAGGCCGAATGGTGGATTGTTCACTCACAGACAGTTGTAGGCAGCACAACAGAATCCCAATCCGCAGAAGAATGTCTCCTCTCCCAGGATGTCGACAGATATGCTGGAAGCAGGCCACACCCCTAGGGAAACTCCCTTTCAACAGATTGGCCGCTCAAAACATAATCATCTGATCCCATCATGGAAACAACCGTATCACAACAGCTCAAACCATACAGAATTGTGGTCCAGCCAAGTTGACACACAACTCCAACTATCACAATAACCTTTTTTTTTTCCTCCTGGTTTGGCAATCTTTATCTTTTAAACAAAAATGACATTTACTTTGATTATTAATACAGTAAAAGCTGGGCAAGTAGGAACTTATGTAACGTGGAAACCTGTCAGAGAAGAAAACACAAGTATTTCACACTAACAGAGAGTGAGACAAAAGCAGTCAGACTGTGGCCTGTCACAGGTGGCAAACTTGCAAGACCCAAAGAACAAGGCTTGTCCCATCGACCTCCTGCTCTCACAAGTTTCACGGTGTCAACCGAACACCAGACCAAACTCACTGCCATCAAGTTGGATCCGACTCATACCGACCCCTCGTTAGGTTTCTCAGGAGGTATCTCTAGGGAAGCAGATTGCCCAGTCTGTCTTCTGCAGAGTGGCTGGTGGTTCTGAACCACTGTCCTTCAGGGCAGCAGGCAAATGCCTTAGGCGGTGAACCACCCTCAAACTACTCACTGCCGTCGAGTCTGATCCGACTCACAGCGACCCCTCCTTGGGTTTCCGAGGTGGTATCGCTACGGAAGTAGATTGCCCAGCCTTTCTTCTGAGGAGTGGCTGGTGGGTTTGAACCATCAGCCTTCTAGTTAGTAGTCAGGTGCCTTAAGCACTACGCCACCAGAGCTCCTGACTATACCACCAGGGCTCCTTATTTTATGCTTTACTTTTTTTGTATTTTTCTTTTTCAAAACCTTTTTGCCTTCTCCGATATGTTTTTTCCCTTTCTTCATTCCATGTTTTTCTCTTCTATAATTTTGGAAATTGAACCTGTTTGCCAGTACTTTACTAGTTATTTTACATTTTTTACCATATTCATAACCTCATAGTACCCTACTCAATCAGTATCCTGAGCACGCGAGGGCTTTAGCACACCTTATCTGATTGTTCTACTCCCACTGATGTGCTGTCATTGCCCAGTGGGATCTGTCCTTTTTTATTGGTAACCCTGTAAATTAGACATTATCATCTTTTTATGCAGTTGATGATGGAGCTCTGGTGGCAAAGTGCTTAAAGCATTTGGCTGTTAACCAAAAGATCAGTGTTTCCCAGCCACCAGGTGCTCCACAGGGGAAAGATGAGGCAGTCTGTTTCCATTGAGACTGACAGCCTTGGAGACCCTGTGGGGCAGTTCCACTCTGTCCTCTAGGGGCGCTGTGGGTCAGAATGGACTCCACGGCAGTGGGTGTGGTTTGGGCTTT